TTTATCGGAACTATACGTCTATGCTTCGTTTCAACTAGCTGTCAAAGTTATTGATATTAGAACTTCTTTGTAACAAAATATGTATTGTTTATGGTAGCATGTGAAAGAAATAAAACACAGTCGTTGCAAAAATCTACGTTTGTTTCAATAGGTTATGGGCCTAAACAATTTTATCAGATTTATTTTAGTACAAAATAGATAAATTGTGTTACGTTATTTTTGCGGAAACAGAATGGCTACGAACTATATTGCAAATGTGCCAAAATTGAAAGGCAGGGAGAATTACGACGAGTGGTGTTTTGCGGCAGAAAACCTACTGGTTTTAGAAGGCATGGTTATGTATATAAAGCCAACGGATGACTTTGAACTAAAACCGATAGACGACGCAAAAACGAAGGCAAAGCTAATATTGACGATTGACCCAGCATTGTACGTGCACATAAAGAACACTAAGAGCTCGGCAGAATTATGGAATACACTGAAGACCATGTTCGATGACTCTGGTTTCTCAAGGAAAATAACCCTACTTCGACATTTGATATCTATACGACTCGAAAATTGCGACTCAATGGCTACCTACATAACGCAAATAGTCGAAACGGCTCAACGGTTAAATGGCACGGGTTTTACAATTACTGATGAATGGGTTGGGTCATTATTAATGGCAGGATTGTCTGAACGTTATACTCCAATGATCATGGCAATTGAACATTCGGGGATTTCGATAACTGCAGATGTCATCAAAACAAAATTGCTCGACATGGAAGTTGCAAGTGACTTTGAAGGCAGTACTAGTGGAACAGCATTTGCAGCGAAAAACAAAATTTTCTCTGGCAACACTAAGCCGAAAAAATATGGTGATACGTCATGTGTCAACAGAAAGACAGTGACAGATAATATTTCATCAACAAAGAAAATCACTTGTTACAAATGCAAACAAGAGGGGCATTATCGAAATCAGTGTCCGTTGTTGAAGAAAAAGGAAACCAATGCATTCAGTGTGGTATTTCTGAATGGTACATACGATAAAACTGAATGGTACGTTGACTCTGGTGCCAGCGCACATATGACAGCTAACAAGGATTGGATAAACAACGCGAATTTTTCTCCAAGTTTATCAGAAATAACTGTTGCAAATGATACGAAAGTGCCAGTTGTGTGCTCCGGAGACGTACAGATAACTACCAGTTATGATTACGATGTGACAATCAAAGATGTGCTATGTGTGCCAAGTTTAACTACAAATTTGCTATCAGTAAGTGCATTGATTAACAATGGGAACAAAGTTAACTTCAATGAAAGCCATTGTTACATCAGAAACAAGAAAAATGTACTGGTTGCAACTGCAGAATTGACTAATGGAGTCTACAAGCTTATGACAAAGGAAGCAGATTGTGGATTAGCGGCATCAGCAGTAGCAGACGCAGAGTTATGGCACAGGCGACTAGCTCATATCAACGGTAGTGTTAAACGCTTGAAAAATATGACACCATATGAAGCGTGGCATGGCAAAAAACCTGACTTAAGTCACATTCGTTTATTTGGAAGTCCCGTAATGGTCCACATCCCAAAAGAACGCAGATTGAAATGGGATAGAAAAGCGGAGAGACAGATACTTGTGGGATTTTCCGAGAATGTGAAAGGATACCGCATCTATGATCCAAAAAGGAATGCAGTAACCACCAGCAGAGATATTATTGTGATGGAAGGAGAGACAGGACTGACAGATTCAGATGAAGATTCCAACAATATCTGGGTCCTGAATAATGATGAAGCTGTGGTGTGTGCAGAGGATAGGGATTCAGTGGGGGATGTGAAACAGCAAGAATCCCTGAACTGTCCAACCACAGCAACTACAGTCTCACAATCTTCAGAAAGTGCAGATGGTGGAGAAGCAACAAATACTTCAAATGTGAATCCAGTTACTCAGACTCCAAATACCAGGCCGAAGAGACAGAGGAGACCACCACAAAAGTACGGTTTCACAAATCTATGCACTAGCAGTGCAGCAGGTATGGAGGAGATAGGTTTTGTGGAAGCCATAAGTCATAATCTTCATTAGCATGGTATGAAAGAGTAAAAGATTGTTTAGTTAACATAGGTTTCAAGGTTAGTAAGTTTGAATCTTGCTTGTTTACAAAATTTGATGATGATGTTAAAATCATAATTTGCTTGTATTAATATGTTGATGATTTTCTTATATTTTCTAATAATAGCTTGCAAACTGAACAACTAAAAAATATGTTGGGTTCAGAATTTAAGTTGAAAGACTTAGGACCTGTCAAACGTTATTTGGGCATGAATGTTAATGTTGATAGAGAAAATAATGTAATAACTGTAGATCAGCTTCAATATCTATAGCAGTTATTGTCTAAGTTCCAAATGTCAGATTGTAAAACTATAAATATAGATAGGCTGCTAGAGAGGCTATATATTTATGAGCTTACAGGCAAGTTAGAAGTAATAACTTTGTATTGTGATAAGTTTGGCAACAAGTCACCAATGTCATAATAGGTCAAAGCATATTGATGTCAGACATCATTTTATTAGAGATTATATTAAAGATGTGATTATTGAAATTAAATATTTGTGTTCAAATGAGATGCCTGCTGACTTGTTGACAAAGGGATTAATGTCGTGTAAGCATTATAGGTTTCTTCATTTATTAGGCATTACAACTGACTAATGTAATAGGTTTTGTCATGATTAATTAAATGAAACACAGTTTGAATTTAATAAGTTTATTTTGTTAAGTGGGGGTATTGATATTAGAACTTCTTTGTAACAAAATATGTATTGTTTATGGTAGCATGTGAAAGAAATAAAACACAGTCGTTGCAAAAATCTACGTTTGTTTCAATAAAAGTGACACCGCGATAGGTACGGATATGTCAAAAAAACAGCTGATGTTCGTTCGTCGTCCGGTCCGGCGCGTTGAAGACGAAAATTTTTAGCGCAATCGGGGCCCAGGAAGTTATCAGCCCAGTTAGCACAGCGCAGCGCGGCGAGCATGCATGATTGTATTGATCCACATTGATCGCATAACTCTCGCTTCGTAACTATCACAGTATTTTTTTTAATTCATCAGTGAACTGTCCTAACCGTGACATTGACAGCGGGGCACCACCGTCAATACCGGATCGCTGGTTCTGACTTTTGCCATCATTTGCCATGTTGGAATGTTTAAAGTTGAACGATGGTGGCGTCCCCTTGTCTTGTCAATGAGTTAGGTGGGACAGTTCAGTTATGGTCATAATTATTATGGATTTCTACTAAAAAAAATATTCCTTTTCTTACATGGCAGCATTATTTCCGAAAAAACTAGTTTTGGCTGGTTTTGTTTAGAAATTAATCTTAAGCTGATAGATTTGTTTGGTATTTCTAGGAAATTAATTTTCGCATTAAATTTATTAATTAGTGTTATTTATAAAGTACAGAAACAATAGTTTAAATTTTAAGTAATAAAATATTTGTAAGCCATAGTATTTATAATCTGTATACTCCACAATAGTGTCGTTCTTATAACGTGAATTTATTTGAATGTAATAAATTTATTGATTGTTCAATTAAATCGATATAATTAACTAAAAACATTGAATTTATTAAATAAGTAGATATGCATTTACCTTTATTCGTTAGCTTCAGTCAATGCGGGAAAAAAGCCATCCCAAGGATTCTATAACGAGCGTTCCTAAACCTCGTTAAACAATTTTAAAACTTAATAATAATATTACAAGGGCTTTTTTAAAAGCAATGTCAGCGAAAGATTAAAATTTTCATCACTGATTTAAGAATCTAACATTGGATGATGAATATTGAAACAAAATATTATCCATAACAAAAAGATCAACCAGTTCACAAAATACATGACATGCAAAGGGTTATGCCCACTTAGTATGGGACCTTTGGCCTGAGGTGGACAGACATTACAGCATGTAATTTGTTATTTATTAAGTAGTCTATACCAGTAAGAAACAGAATATAAATATCATTTTGTATCCAAGTCCTTAAAAAAAATTTTTTTTGCTTAAGACTAGAAAGGTTAGGAGCAAAATAAAACACCATTTTTTATTATTATTATTATTTTAATCTGATTGGTTGAGTGAGATTCGTAGTTCGAGAGTATGCCAGGGTCATCGGGAAGGGAAGCATCGAGGACCATGGTCAAAAAAATAAAGTCGTCAAAAGGGAAACTTATACAACACTCTTCTGCTTTTATTTTGGCAAAGACTTGGTTTTGAGAAATAAACAACACTCACGATGAAAAATACAAAACAAAGCGAATGACAGATAACAGCTGTGACAATATTTTCAGTGTTGCCAATGTTGCCATGCTAATAATGTGGAGATGAATAAAAATAATCGATATAAAAATCGATTGTATTTTTGATGACTCGAAATAAGGTGTGTGTGAAATAAGGTTTCATTTAGTTATTTAAATATTTTGGTAGTGTTATTGGAACATTAAAAAGGTTTTATAAATGTCATTTTAATGAATACGTATTTAAAAAAAATACTACTTGTCATAGTCGAAAAACAATCGATATGAATCGATTCTTACCGATAAGATTCATTTTGGCAACACTGAATTGAGTTAAAGACAGGAAGTTGTAATTATCACATAAAGTACTATTAATATTGGATTTTTATAAAGGCAAATTGATACAAAGTTACACTAAGTGAATACTTTAAAAAATAATTAAAAATTTTTGGCAAATTCATATTTTCATTAGCAGCTTGTCCACGCCAGGCCAGAAATGAACATTGTCCTTTAAATTCAATAAAGTATTACAGAAAATTAAAAGAAAATATTTATAATTTTTAACACGAACTACTCTAATAATATTTATTATCGTATTATTTAGCGTCCGAACGGGCCGCGCGGTGCACTGGTTAAATAAAGTCACAACAACACAACATTGAATCTTAACGTTTGTCGATCGATTCTTTTCAATTTACTTTTGCAACGGTACATCACTAAATTAAGCCTGTTTGTGCTGCTGTCGCTGTCTGTTTTTTCTTTCTTTCTTGTGTCTCTTTTCTTTCTGTGTCTCCGGATTGTTTGTGATATTTTTCAGGAACCACAGTTGTTTTAAAATGGAAGCAGCAGTAAAAGAAAATCCTAATGAATCTGCTGTAAAAGCAGCACCTGAAGCCGCAGCTAACGTAAGTATTGAACCTATTATTTTCACGAAAGTTTTAAAAATAGATTCCGATCAAATGTCGGTAAACATTTTGCGAAAAAACACGAAATATATTGGTTTTTGAAGGTCTTCTGCTGTATTTTTAAGGTTGTTTTGAATTAATATACTTAATTAATACCATTGAAGATCAAATTATGAGTTTTAATTGCATAAAATCAGGTAGATTAGTTAACCTGAAACTAGTTTGGCGATTTGCCAAAATTCGAAATGTTTATGATATTTCTGTTCGAAGCACGTTTCTCGCGCTTTCTTCTTTTATGGCCGATGACAACGTATTGCCAAATATCTTACATTTGTATTATTGCATCACTGATAATGGTTACCATGGTGTTTATCAAGAGTGTGGTATTTGTTCTTAAAACCACGCAGTATCTCAAAAGGTCAATAGTTACTCATCTAAAAAATAGATTCTGCTAACTTGAATTCTATCGTTTTTCTTATTTCAAGGCTCTTTCATCAGTTACACAAGGCTCATAAGAATCACATTTTTTGTGTACCTACCAATAAACTAACTGCAAATCGCTTTAAATCTACATTAATTAACATTGCATTTAAATTAAAAAGGTTAAAAAGCAAGTTCATTGCAATATTGTCAGTGACAATAATATTCAGGATCAATTTCTAAAAATAAGAAGAATATTCTGAATACAATCTTAAAAACAGTCCAGAATTCGTTTAAAATATCCGGTGTCAAATTACAGGAAGAACCACCGGCTCCACCACCTCAAGATCCTCCGAAGAAATCCAAAAAAGAAGACAGAGTCAAAAAGGATGACAAAAATGTTGAGCAGTTCATGAAATCGTTGAACTCTGTGCCATCGTACGAGGAGAAATTTGCCACCGTCTGCAAGAAGTACGTACAGACTGCAGATGAGAATAAAAAGCTTCAGTTTTACATCAAACAGTCCGACAAGCGTTATGCGCTGTTGTTGAAAGAGAAAGAACAGTTACAACATGAGTTCAACAAGACAATACTTGTTAAATCAAAATTGGAGAATCTCTGCCGTGAATTGCAGAAACAGAATAAAGCCATCAAGGTATGTTTTTTACTTGTTTCTTATTTTTGTCATTTTCAAGAGAGAATCTCCAGTCGTAGCCCAAAAGTTTATTACTCTTTTCACAATATTAAATTATTATTACTTTTGTCTTGACTTGTATGTAAATTCAAACTTAACTCGTAAAATTAAACCTAATCTTACCTTTAAATATTCAATAGGGTATTTTTAAATTACAGGCAAAAAAGTATTCAATTACTTAAGTATTAAAAGTATTTGACATGAAGCAGCAGAATTCAATGCCAAACATCTCTCCTACCGTTTACTTTATACAAAACCTAACGTTACACATTATTTTGCATTCCAGGAAGAATCTCTCCTCAAGATTCGTGAAGAGGAAGAGCGTCGTAAGGAAACACAGGCCAAGTTCCAGAACACGTTGATGGAGATCACCACACTACTGAACCAAAACAATGAAAAGAACGCCAAGTTGAGGGACGACAACATCAGCATGAGTGAGAAGTTCAAGAGTGTTGTACAGCAGTACCAATTGAGAGAACAACAGGTATTTTTCTGTTAATTTATTCATTAAGGGCCGATTTTTCAATCGTCTGATAACTTTTAACTGAAGAATAAGTTTGGCATATTGACAGTTTCAGTATGAGAAATATTTCAAAAGTTTATTCTTAGTGAAAAGATATCTGATGATTGAAAAATCAGTCCTAAACAATATAAATAAAAGTAGGACAGTCAAAAAATAAATTCTTACTTGTCTCTTAGCCATTACATGACATGGCAGTATTTTCTATTTTGGTACCACTATCATGTAATTAGGGCTATCGTTTTAGCGCTCACCAGTTAGCGCCACTGTAGAGTAAGGTCCTGTCACTTGCTAGTAGCGAAGACAGTGGCACCAACTGGTGAGCGCGAAAGTGGTAGGAGGACTATCGCATTTGCACTCATCAAGATGGCGCCACTGTAGAGTAAGGTCCTGTCAATCGCCAGGGGTGCCAACTGTTAAGTATAAAAACGATAGCCCTCATTGTGGGATCAATCGCTGTAGAGATCATAATGCTGCATGGTCTTATTTCAAGTAGAGTTCCAATAGTGTGTACTGCCTTTGTCATTCTGACAATATTTGGCCAAGTAACCGATGTGGTGTTCTTCCTTTGGTGTATATTTAAAGTTTGGTGGTTCCTGTTTACACATTAAAATCTATGTTAGTTAGATTTTGGTAATCATAACATTTGAGCATCAACTTCACAGACTAAAATATCACAAAAGAAAATAATGTAAACTTAATTGATAACTTTTTATTTTTAATTATACAATAATCAACTATCTATTTACAGGTGGACAAAATGGCCAAACAAATGGCACTCGAGAGTCAATTATCAGATGCTAAAATGCAAAAAGCCAGTCTCGAACACCAAGCAGAGAGAGAACGGATCGTCGCTGAAATGGAACAGCTTAAAGTGTCCGTAGCGCAGTACCGAGCTAAGATACTCGAGCTGCAAGGCACCGAGACAGCGTTGAGAGGGCAGCTAGCGGTTTACACGGACAAGTATGACGAATTCCAAAATGCGTTGGTGAAGAGCAACCAGGTGTTTGGTGGATTCAAAGAACAGATGGAGAAGGTAAATATTGTTCGGTTTCTAATTATTTGCTGTTTCACGAATACTAGAATCTGGGCCTTTTCAAGGCGAGAGTGAATAGGTACTTCCCACTACTTACAGGGACATCTCTACGATGTCTTATTAACTAATATTAGGCTGTCAAATACCTGCCTTGTTCTGCATAAAAAATAACCATTGTACAAAATTTTTACAAGCTGATTTAAGCGAGACTTGTAGACATATTTTAAACAATGTACTATTAGTCACAGTATAATGTGAAACTAGAGACCCGCCCTGACTTCGCATGGGTGCTAATAAACCTTCCTCTTAAATCACTCTGTCTATTAAAAAAAAACACATCAAAATCCGTTGCGTAGTTTTAAAGATTTAAACATACTCATACATAGTTACATAGGGACAGATAGATAGGAAAACTACTTTGTTTTGTAGGAAAACTACCAATTGCATCATAATGTACTGAATCTACCTGTGGTTGTAAGTTCACATTCTGCAGGGAGCATATCGCACCTACGGTGCAACAACGTCACTTATGCAATTTTTTCAAAACTTAACATAATCAAAATAAACCAAGTAAAGAGGTCGATTTTCTCATAATCAGTAAGTTTTGAAAAAAAATATGCATAAGTGACGTTATTGCACCGTAGGTGCGATATATTGCTCTGATTCATGTCAAGCTATGTAATGGACATTTTATTTATGTTTATGAAAATAATACAGTTAAGTTTATGAATGCATAATCTGCCTATTTATTTAATTCAAAGAACATTGATGTAGGTAACATTTGAAATGATTTATTTGATTCATTCTATGAGCATTGCGCTGACATGATTTATTATTATTAAGTACAATTTAGTAATTAGGTCTGTATATTTGATTGTTTGCTTTGTTCAATCATCAAGGAGTTTAATTGTTTATTATCTAATTAGGTAAAGTTATAAGTGTTGAAATAAAATTATGATAGTGATTTGTTGATTAATGTGATTACATATTTTTTTTATATCAATTATAATTAGTGGAACTGATTCTTTAGTTGTGTTTAAAAAAATATTTTTTTAACAATATTTTGTTTAGCATCTTTTTCTGAACAAAAAGCTTTTTTTTCACTATCATAGCAATCAGGTTCAACAAATATGTCTTCAAAGTCACCAGATATAGGTCGTATCATCCACGAAGACGCGCCCTACCAATTTTCGGTCGAGGGAAGCGCGGGGTGCGGGGAGTTTGATCCGAGCAATCCGAGCGGCATTATTGTAGTGTGCGTGTGCACTCATGGATGATGTAGCGTATACCGATAACACTCAAACATTAGCGGAAGAATGGTAGGGCGCGTCCTCGTGGATGAAACGATCTATGTCATGCAGATTTTACCAAGAATTCATAGGTATTTTTTTTAGAAAGTGTGAATAAATATTTTAGTGTAGACAAATCAGATTACTAAGTTTAAAACAATATAAATAACATCCAAACAACATAATTTTATATGGACAGTACCAAAACTACATACTCTGTCCCCTGGGCCACTCACACCGCGGTAACCCGAAGATTCTAGTAGCCAAGTATTCGCATATAGTTCCTTGCTCTTTTGCATACTATCCAGGACTTCTGTCGCCCGAATGTTATCGCGATGTATGTGCCCCAGGGATATAGCATCTTATTGATTACATAGACGTAACATACCTACACATTGCTTGATTTTGACGTAAAATCACCGCTGTCAATACTTTTTGACAAAAATGCACAACTTTATTTACGAGCAAAAGTATGGATTCACCCTCTTTTTCCCAGCGATCTGAAGAACTCGATGATTATCAAGTAAAAGTTTATAATGTAACCTTTAAACTGGTACAATTTTTTATTTAATATTTATAGTCATTTAGTTCCAAAGATTACTCGAAACGAATGGGGTGATTCCATATTTTTGCTCGCGAGTGTATATTGGCATCTTAACAGCCCAAACCCTTTGCAGATGTCAAAGAAAATCAAGAAGCTAGAGAAAGAATCTCTATCCTGGAAGAGTCGATGGGAGACGTCTCAGACCGCTCTCTTGGATATGTGCGGGGAGAGACAAGCCAGCGAGGAGAAGGTGGCCAATACTGCGAGGCAGCTGCACCATATGCAGAGCTTGTGTCGTACTCTACAGGTATGTTTTGATCATTATCAGCAGGTCATTTAGTATTTATTGCAGGAAGACGCTCTGAAGACCAGAGGCAAATAGAGAATTGGGATTGGAACTGCATTCCCTAAGCAGGCGTTATTAAATAATTAATCTTACATAGTGTTAGATAGTCTCTGGGGATAAATAAATTAATAAAATTCAATAAAATTCATTTATTTTTGCAAATAGGCTTTTAGAAAGCACTTTTACACGTCCCAATATTAACCCTACCACTGCTTCTTGATGAAATTAGACTTTCTGGAGGGGAGATTCTGTTGAATAAATTGCCTTTTTGTTAGAACTAAAAGGGAACATTTTAAAAAGGTTTATTTCGTATGATATACCTCGACTACATAATCAAAATTGTACTTTTTCTATGAAAAAAGCGTTGTAGTTTAGTTCACTGCGCACGCTGTAAGATGGCGCTATTTAAAACATAATTTCGTATTGTGATAGTCTTCTTATCACTAGACAGTCAGCGTTCGCTGCTACTCAATAGTGTAGCAGTGCTGACACAGATGTTTACAGATCGCGACTATTAGTCCAGTCGATCGTGGCAAGGCAAAAATACTAGGTACATGATTGTGTACTAAACTATGCTGTTTCATTTAAGATTTCAAGAAGTATGTTTAGTGGTAGATCGCCCAGGGTTTCGTTAGTAAACAGTAGATCTTATGTCTAATCAAGTTGGCCACCCCTGGTATAGAGAATGTCTATCTTTACAAAATAATTAATTCGGTTATAGACACCCCTTACTTGCTTTCTCAAATATCATTTAACATCAAACATAGTGCTAGAAGATCCAACAAAACTAACCTTTTTTCATTACAGATTTTTAAAAACAATACCTCCTTTTACAGTCCCTTAGTTAGAATGGCTCGTCAGTATAATGAATTGGCAAAGCATAACCCGGAGCTCGATATTTTTGCTTCCAGACTCACACATTATATCAAATCACTCCAGGATGTCCTCTACGCCGCGCCTGACGGGCTCGGTGATGACTTTGAGTCGGCTCGACGTCGTCGCTGAGTCTCGCCTGATTAACCTACCTACTTATTTGTTTGCTCGCGTCCGTACGTTACGTGCATGGCTGCGGTGACTTTTGAACTGTACTGACCTACCCACCTTGCTTTTCTAATAACACATACTTCTGAATTACAATCTAGATCTAAGCAAAACAATTTTGTTAAAATATTTTTTTGAAAATTGTAATTTGTCATGTGTTTTATAAAATAAAATAAAATAAATAAATAAAATATAATATTACATTTGTTCCACCAGGCCGAACGCACGCTACTCCTGGGCACGCTCAAGGAGAACAACATCGAACGGCCGCCGCTGCCGCCCATCTCGCCCGTGCCCGTGCCTGTCGCTGTGCCGTCCAACGCTGCCCTGCCCAACAACAACGCCAAGGTAACCTCGACTTTATCCCACACTCATAAGGTCGCTTCTCGGTGCCTGTGCTTATATTGTTAGGCATTAGGGCAGGGATGGCAAACCTTTAAGTATCAACGTGCCACTATTCTAAAAAAATGTTTGAAGTAATCATAGACACGTGCCATTAAATTAACACCTAATGCCATCAAGTAGCACCGCTGGTGAGTTACACGACCTTACTCTACAGTGGCACTAACTGATGAGGGCAAATACGATAGCCCATAATCAAAACACATTATTTACTATTGAATTACTGAATTTGTGATTGGTGGCGTGCCCAAAATTTATGTCGCGTGCCATCATTGGCACGCGTGCCATTGGTTCGCCAACCCTGCATTAGGGCATCCTGGAAGGAGGATTTACAAGCTACATCTGCTGAACTTCTATACGGACAGAGCTTGCGCCTCTCAGGTGAGTTTTTGTGTAAAAGTGTTACGCCCAACCCAGTGCCTAGCGATTACGATCTGTGTCGCCCGAAGATACTTTGCCCACCACCAGCGCCAAAGTATTTTAAACCCTATATCTACACGCACATAGGGCTGTTGCCCGTCGCTGTGCCGTCCAACGCAGCCTTGCCCAACAACAATGCCAAGATAACCTCGACTTTATCCCACACTCATAAGGTCGCTTTTCAGTGCCTGTGCCCATATCTGTGTCGCCTGAAGATACTTTGCCCACCACCAGCGCCAAAGCAAATTCAAGTTTCAACCCTATCTACACACACATAGGACTGTAAATCCGTATATTAATCGAACAATCTTAAAAAAACATGATGTGGAGAATCGACTGAGAAGTCGCTCTGCCCGCTTTTATAGTTATTTAAACAAAAAATATATTTTTGGACATTTTACGTCTCACTAAGTAATTTCGGATTGCAATATTATATGTACATAAAAATACTGACACCATCGAACATAAATTCGTTGTCAGTAATTTTGACAATACATTTTAAAATAAATCATAAACATTGACAATAATATTATTCAATGCATTTATCTGAAATATTTCTAAAACTAAGACTTAACTGATTTCAATTAATGATGCAAAACAAACCAAACCAAAACCTTTTCTCGCATTGTTCTCACCATACTAAAAACGCCGTCAATCATATCATAACTAACTTTCCAATACCGTACAATTCTTTCAAACGTAACGTCCAATTATCCACGCACGACTCGATTATCGCTACAATTGTAAAAGAATCATGAAATTGAATGTTTTAGGTCGACGCAATGGCCGCCAACTGTGTCCAGCTGAGACAAAGTTTAGCGCACCTACAATCACAACTCAACAGCCTAACTAAAAAGAATGAGACTAAAGAAGAATCACCTAAACCAGAGAAAGCCAAAAAGTCTAAAGCCAAAAAGAACAAAGCTAAAGCTGGAGAGAAATCAACAGAAAAAGAAGAGACAAACGGTGGTCAAGAGCAAGAAGAAGAAAAGCCAGTAGAAAAAGTAGAAAAGAAACAAAATAAAGCACAAAAGGTAGAAAAACAAGCGCAAAATGAAGAAAAAGAAACAAAAGAAGATAGCAAGGAATCTCCTAAAGAAGAGGCTTCTGCTACAGAAGTAGCAAAGGAAATTGAAACAACCACCAATGGAGATAACGCTCAACTTGATATAGGAGATGAGAAAGTGGACGACAAAACACTAGAAAGTCTAATACAAGCAATCAATAATGCCAACATCAATCTCTGCGACTTAGAAGTCGGCGATGATGAAAACGATCTTGACAGTGCAATAGTCGATAGCATGTTAGCAGTCGAAATGAATGAAAACAACGAAAGCACTGCAAATACAAACGGCGACAACAAACCAGCCGAAACCAAAACAAATGAAGTCGTAGAACCCAAAGTATCTGAAGTGACGGCTGATAAATTAACAGTAGAAGCTAAAGAAAAACAAGTGCCGAAAGAAAAAACAAATGCAGTAGAACCTAAACAAAACAAAGTGCCAGAAGGAAAAGTAAATGTAGTTTCAAACACAGAGGTGAAGCAGATTTTAAATGAAGCAAATTCTAATGACGAAGTTTCACACATACCCGAAGTGAAGCCAATCTCAGTTGAGACCGCGTAAATGCAAATTCAACTGTAAAAACTGTTTGAACTAATTTTTTACGTTCATATAGTGAAAAAAGTGTTTTTGTAAGTGTTCTAGTATTTTTTGTTGGTCTCAAAGTTTTGTACCTCGTGTGTTTTGTTATGAAGACGGCAATTAAACGAATCTTTTGAAATTATGTAAAGTGCCTATGTATTTCTAGATCTTTCTAGTCAGATATCGGTATTGTTTCTTATGTAATAAAGTCCATTTTCGCAATCTTTAGTTTGACTGTAAACTATTCACAAAAGTTCTTATACGTCTACATTTAATACAATTTTTTTGTTCTGAAATATGATTTTATTTCACATAACATTATTAGTACAAAATTCGGACTTTAGTATCCTAATACTTCAAAGTTCAATTGTTTACTTTAAACGTCAAATTACCTGGCTTCAGTAACTATATCAATTGTAGGTATTTTATTATCATTCTTACGATTCCTATTTAATATACATAGAAATGATTAAGAGTGATGTCAATTTAAAAATTCGGTGCATATGTGTAAAGGCCAGGGCATTTGCGAATATGTGTACTTAACTTTACTATCTTTGTTGTCATTTTGTTAGAAAATCCACTATCTTTTTTGGAGTAAGGGTAACTTATAGTAGAATAAAAATTATCTTGTAACAATATCAAATATTACTGTCAGTCAAATATTATGTAACGATGTATATTAATCGACCATTGTATTACAATTTGTGAACTGTTTCAACTTCTTTTTGTAGTATGTATAAATGTGACTTTTGAGTTTTTTTTACAATAAAAATAGATTTTGTAACTATGATACATGCCTTTTATTTTGTGAAACTTCAATGTTAATTTTGGATTCCACCTACACTTCATTTCAATGAAAAGAGAAGTTTAATGATTGACAAAAGTTTGTATTTTTTATTTGATTACTAATTACTTTTAAAAGTGTAAGAATAATAATTATTTAATTAACTATTCAATAATAACAATTCATAAAAAATGACACATAAATCTTAATTTTATTTTAAAGATCGCATTAGAGAGAAGAATTATCGCTTTCACCACATCTCTAAAAAGTATTTCAAATCATTATTTCTTAATTTTCAGTTACACTAAGTTATTTTTAAGTATAGGCATCATTGGTCTTTTATCAATTTAGACCTGACAACATTTTCTATTTACCAACTTTCAGTTTGCAGTCGTAACATTTTTAAACCTTTTGCTCTGTTTAGAGCTAAACAGTTTCTATTATTATTTTTAGTATAGAAACCTAACCCGGAACAAAATACTGAAAAAGAGTCAGTTTTGTAGTAATTATAACAGAAAATTCAATTGTTTTTCTTTTACTCCATACCAAAACAGCAACGAAGTGCACTCTCGTTGTGGCCATAGAATTGGCGAGAATAACACCCGTATTCACGAACGATGCTTGCTTAAGTGAAGCAGAAAATTGAATGCACAGCATTGAATAGAATTCTGTGATTGGTTCGTGTATGACCCTGTCCACGCGTTCACGCGCACCTCATAGTAATGTTTGTGAATAGGTACGGGCGTCACACTTACAAGAGTGGACAATGGACAATCTATTTGGTTAGTATGAGGTTAACCCGCCAGGTGGAGCTTATGGTGATTGATAGGGTGTAATAAAGGATACGTTGGTAAAAAAAACATAAACACAGCTATAAATTGCTGTCAATTTCGCAGATATTTTAATAAAATACAAATCGACATCGTGAATTGGCGTATATCTACTTATTTTCACTATAGGCATTTCGGATTTAGTTGTTGCTAACGTCTTCCTAACATCCTGTATATCTTTGACTGAATCAATGTAGAAAGGGAAGAGCATGGATGCAGGCAGCGCAGAATCGGTCTTTAACACTTTTTATGCCGAAATCCCGATATCGGGATCATTACCGTCTCAATTAACTGCCTAACAAGTTACGACATGTTTTGTATAGGATCCGCAAGTGTCTACGGGGGAGGACACGTGGGGTCGTCCTTTGTGCAATTGTTTTTTGTCTGTTCGGACCTAACATTATGGATTAGGGTTGGGCAAAATTATGTGAGAGTTAGGTACTTTTTAATTAAAACTTGCCTACCTACTACTAAATTAATTAATTAGGTTTCTCTTATTTTATTATTTTGTAAAAGTCGCTATACACGTTAGTAGTTCACTAGTAGAAACAAAACTTAAGTACCTGCCCATATCATTCATCGCTTTCCGCAAGACGTATAAGTGGGCAACGCGAACACGTAAAGCTGCGTCCTCACTGAAAGCGATATTAACATTCAGACCGATTAGCGAAAGAAACGCAACAAATTTTGATCTTCTTTAAATATAATTAATCAATTGCTGTTCGTTTGTCTCGCTAAAACTCGAGAACGATTTAACTGATTTTGGTTTTGAATGTTTGTTGTAGTCCAGGGAAAATTTAAACTGTAAAATATAGGTAAATATTGCGAAAGAAGATAGTAAAATTTCATTTTCCCATAATTATAAACTGTAGTGTGTATCGATAGTGTATTTTACTCCACGCAAGAAAATATAAGAATGCATGTTTTTAATAGATTTAATAAAAAATAAACTGAAAACGTTGATATTTTTTCATAAAAGTGAAAATAGAATTTTAAAATTCGCTTTTATTAAATCATCTTTTTTAAATGTCTAAAACGCCTCCACCCTGACGAATTCCCTCGTGACGTCACTCCGTTAGTAAACAAGTAGATTTTGGCTTGATTTATGTTTAAAATGTTGGAATCGTTTGTGATAACATCACGTTAATGGACTTTAAAGTTTTATTTTACCTATTCAAATCGCGTCATGGAAGACGTGAAAGCAGAAAGTTAGAGTAAAGTTACAGAAACTATCGGAATGACGTCACGAGCCAAACAGCATGGCGGCTAGAGTTTCCGCGCGAAAAGTCAAAATCATATTTACATTTAAGTTTAGAAGGCATTTATAGGCTTTTTAAAATTCAAATTAAAATTAAGTATAAGCTCAAGATTGATTTACAACATATTTCAAAAGAAAGGTGTAAGACCCTATTCTAAGGCGGAACGAAGTTCGCTGAGCCAGCTAGTCGCCTATAAAATGTAGAAATCTCGGATTATGAATTGGTAATTTTGAATAATAAATAGAAGCAGCGAGTATTCTTCTGATTTGTTCCTTGTTTCCCTCCGATAAATATCGCTCCCAGCTCGCTTTCAATTGCTGAAGGTGTATATTTACACTTGACAAGGTTTAATTTGACACAAAGCCGGCTCTCAACATTAACAATTAAGAATAAACAATGGACCTAAAATATGATGACGGTGTTTGGTGGCGGGTCAAAAGCACAGCATTAAAAGCTCACAGGAAACAGCCATGGGAGCGTGTTTGCGGTAAGTTTATAATATCCCTTTTTTTAAAGAAATTTTATAGTCGCATAAAAAATAATAAGAAAGCACTCGATCAAATATTTTATACTTAAGTACACTAATTATTTTATTAAATATATTTTTAGTAAATTTTAAATGAAAATAACTAGTGGAAACCAATATGGTTTTTGCAATTCTAATAACTGTTCTGTTTCGTAAATAAATAAATAATTATAAAATGGTTTGTGCTAAATGGATATTTTATTTATTATTTCAGCTGTTCAAAAGCACCACCAGCCAATGCTGGGAGTAAAGATGTCGGCACCCAGACCGACGACTGCGGAATTCCGCAGCCGCAACAGCAGCAGCAGCCGCCGCAGCCGCAGCCGCAGCAGCAGCAGCAGCCGCAGCCGCAGCTTACCAGCCGGGCGGGGTGGTGGCGGGCTCCACCGCCTACACCCGTATCGGTGCAGAGCAGCGGGCGATCACGTCATGTCGATGTCGATTCAGATATCGACATGACGTGGAGCTCGACAAGCTCCATTTATTTTTAAGTAGTTATAAGTGTTTTTATTTTTATTTTATAAGTAGATTTATTAAAAGTTTATTTTGAACTTAATGTTATTATTTAACGACCTTACATGATTGTAAATGCAAAAACAGACTTACCGGTTAAAAACAGCTCAAATACTAAGGTGCGCAAACAGTGCACTCATCCGGCGTGTAGTGGTTATACACGCACGTCCTGCACGTTGCACACCAGAAACTGTCTTCGTACACCATATTAATTATATTTTCATAGTTCATGACCGTCACAAAATGATTTAAATTGTTAATCGGTGCTATTTCGAACACTTCACAGTTATTGATACATTGTTCTACTTTAACAAAGTGTGTAATTGGCCACGGCCACACTAAATTATTTATTAAGGCGTCCATAAAATCGTCTCTAGTTAAAAAGTCATCTACATCCATCAAAAAGTCATTTACATCTAATTCCATTTTTAAAATAAAAAAGTACTAAAACTACACTACACTAAAAAAACTAAAACTACACTACACTAAAAAAAGTTTATACTTATAACCTACACACACTAAGTACAATTATATTTTAAAAAGGCAAAGTTCTCCCACGACCTACACCATGGAGTCTTTAAGGGTATCTAAATAAAATGTGAAAATGAAAGATGATGTACATTTTAATTTTGTTTATTGAAATTAAAGAACCATCTTGGCAGAACTCTTTGTACCTTTGCCGCTTGGTCTACAGTATAATCTTAACTGAGCAGGGCTATTATGTTGGGACTACACCATTGATAAACATTGTTACAAATATTAATTTTTACAGTTACAAACATACTAATAAAAAAGAGTCTCCTAAGAAGTAAAAAAAAAACACTTACTAATAATAATAGTTTTATAATAATAATACAATTAAATGCGATTAAACGGCTATTTTAACCAGTTGGCTGCGAAATAAGTAATTTTACACTACATTATTATTTTTTTCAAACTTAAAATACGAATTACACTTTGTACATAAATACAAATAAAAATGCCGTTCATGATTTGCAAGACTACTGATTATTACTTATATTGTGAACCAAATATTATGATGTGTAAGCATCATTTCACTATTACAAGCTTATAACAAAGAAGATATGGATAAAACAGACGGCCGCTTTGTTTTCGACATGGTTCTAAACCTGAGCTAAATTAATTAGAATAATGTAAACACCTTAAAGTAATTTAGGGTCACCACACACAATAACTGTTCTGTTGTAACAAAATAATAACAGTTTTAAGCAGGGTTAGAAAATATCCGATATTTATTATAAAAGCGGGGGAAGCCGCAGGCGAAAAGCTAGTCAATAATTATAATGTTAATTTATATATATATATATATATACAGGGTGTTATGTAAATGGGTATATGAGCCGACACTAGCCCATGTTAACATGGTCATATAAATGGTATGGTGAAGTCATAAATTTGATATCATCATTTTAATTTTCTTAATTTTCATACAAAATAAATTTTATAAAATCCAATTTGCATGAAAATTAAAATAACTAACTTGAAGATATCAATTTTCTGACTTCACCATACCATTTATATGACCATGTTAACATGGGCTAGTGTCGGCTCATATACCCATTTACCTAACACCCTGTATTTACGTTAAACCCTATTTTTTTAATAAATAAATCTAATATTTGTGGTAATCTTTAAAGCAGTCTATACACAAACTTGGCTGATTTTCACAAAAATTACAGTAAAACAAAGTATTTTGGCGTTTCTGTTTTGTGTCCCAGCAATATTTGCACCTTCGCCTTTTGGTATGACCTTTGCTATCCCTTGGCAAATGCGTAGGTATATGAAATTTTTTATTTTTGGGAACTTTAGACGTACGTGTAGGACGCGGCAGGAGTATTTCTATAACAGATTCTCTAAATTTGTAGTAATCTATTTGAACGTTTTTGTGTAATTTATATAAATAGAAGGCATTTAACAACATCATTTGGAAAACATGTATACCCACTTTTTTATACCAACGCATAGTTTTGTGTTCGCAAGTATAATATGAAAGCATTTGATCTTGTCTATCAACACCGTTCATGAAATTATTATATTGTATTACAATTTCAGGCTTTAAAATTGTTTGGCCTCTCCTATTGGTTATCGCTTTTAATTCTGGCGTGTGCTTAGTGCTGATAGTAAGAACATCACGCTTGTCATGCCACTTACAAACGCAAACCCCATGGGTGTTGTAGCGGTAAATGCTTTCACCTTTCTTCAACTTGGTGTTACAAACTATACTCGGGTTACCTTTTCTTCTACTCCTTAGTGTTCCAGTCATATTTGTTTTGTTTCGTAACAAAAATTCTGCAAGGCCCACACTGTTGTAAAAATTATCCATGTATAAATGGTAGCCCGCATTTAAGTATTTAGACATTAATTTAGTTACAACTTTATCAACGTGACCCGGTCCCCCAACTTGCGAGTCTCTTTTACCTTGGTACATGTGTATTTGAAGTGACATACCAGTAGGTGTCGCTAAAATATACAATTTAATGCCATATTTATGTCGTTTGCCCTTGATATATTGTCGTATTCCACTACGACCACGATGTAATATCATGGACTCGTCTATACACAAGTTTTCGCCAGGAATAAATAAAGTTGGCATTATGTTATTAAAATGATCGATAAGATGATGAATATTGGCGTCACCAAATTTTAAACATCTAAAAATTAATAAAAATCGGTTTTTCGACATAAATTGGTGACTAAATAAATTATATAAATAATGTTTTCGCCAGTAGTCAGTATACTTATTAACTTTGATGTTACCCATATGAAATAGTATGCCTAAAAACACTAGTAACTCGGAAATATCTAATTCTTTCCATTGACTAATTCGGCTATGGACACATGTGCTTTGAATTAATATTTCGACAGCACTTTCATTTGTGGCCTTTACAATATCCCCAAGTATATCGTCACAAAAAAGAAGCCTAAAATAATCGAAAGGAGTGGAAGAATCCGGTGGAATTAGAAAAACATCACCATTATTACCATATTCAAAGGTATTCTCCGTCCTGCTATGTAGAGTCCACTCTTCACCTGGAGTCACTTCCGACTGGAATGCCTGGTTATCACCACGTTCATCACTAAAATAATAATAAAAAATATTGTATTATTAATTTTAACTGCGTCTGATATTTCTATTATTTTCTTTAATTATTTATACTCGTATATATATATATATGTTTAACATAAAGGACATACTTTAAATTATTTATATAATTAAAATTGTCTTCATTTGAATTAACAAAAGATAAAGGACTTACTTTAAATTATCTCCAAAATTGTCTTCATTTGAATTTACAGCTACATTTTCAGAATAATACTCCATATCAGCCTCCGACTCGTATCTGCTTCTACTCGATGGACCAAAATCTTCGCCGAATATTTCTAATATATCTCGTTCGATATCGTCACGAGTACGCGGAATTGCCATATTTTAATACCGTTCAGTTATGTTGCTTACAACCTTAAATACTATGTTGACTCAACGAAGTCAGAACACGGAATGAACTCTCCCTGCTTTGTCAAACCCTTGCATGCAATTCTATAAAATACTGCACAGTTATGGATATTCGTTACCCATGAAAAAATGTGCGAAACATCTGTTTAGAAAATTTATTTTCGAGGTGTATAACCATAAAATTATAGCTGTTTATGACAAAAATAGTAAATGTTTTTGATACTGCCAGTCCGGCACGTTTCTATTCTGTGTTCAGGTACCTATCTAATAAATTTAAGTACCGACAGTTGCAGGTAAAAAAAGTTTAGTAAAGGTAACGGTAATCTATTGTGATACATAATATCTATGACGCAAGGTTAAAATAATAAGTTGTATACTGATTATGTTTGGTTATCTCACTTAGTTATTTTAGAATAATAAAAATAACATTATTTTGTTTGTAAATTAAGTTTACTTTAGGTTTTAAAATTAAGTTTGAAAATAAATAATTCACAAAATTTGTAAGCACCTAAGTATTGAAAAGAAACAAAGTAAATACTCTTCCGTTTGTTCAACCCTAGCCTCAACTCGTAGCTATTCGACCCCATGCGGTGCCGTGTTGTATAGACACATGTGGATGTCAATATAGAGTTCATGAACATCCTGCTTTAGTTAAGAGAACCCGATATCGGGATTTTGGCAATAAAAACACGCCGATGATTACTTTGAGGCGCTAAAAGTGTTACCTTTAAGATTTTTATATTTTATAAGTATTCAAACATTTAGATAATAACGTTAAAAACATTTAAAAATCGTGTGAGAACGTTTTCGACTTCTCCGCGGACGAAGTCGCGGGCAAAAGCTATTTGTAAAATAATTAGACTAAATTATTAAAAGTGCCTACCCAAAGTCATTATTCCACGCGGACGAAGTCGCGGGCACAGCTAGTTACATAATAACAATTGTTTCCACTGATCCTTTAACAGTACATGTCCTTTTAATTTATTCGATGAATACCTTAATGGTTATTTGATTCTTATCCATAATTTTCAGGTGTTCCACTGCATCGCTTTCCTGACCCGGAAAAAAATGCAGAAAAGTTTAACACCTGGATTGCAAATATTGGTGGCGATCTAGCTACATTGGATGCAACAACAATTTATAATAATAGACGTGTATGTCGTAATCATTTCGAGGACGTTTATAAATATCCTAAGAACCGACTCAGTCAATTGGCAATGCCAGTACTGCATTTACCAGGTAATTTTATTTTATTTATTCAACAAATAACTTTGTTCATTATCTGAAATATGTACATAAAATATTATAGGTATCTACCTAGTTTTATTGATATTTGATTTTTTCATTTATTTTTAAAGTCGGTATCAGTGTAAAAAATACAAATGACAAATGCAGTTCGGCAAACACAATAAAACCTATGAAAATTGTGGGTAAATTAGCATTAATACATAATTTGAATAACATTCATGTCTTTATTTTTTCAGGTGTGCAAGCACAAAGGCTTAAAGAAATTGATCATATTTCTGGAAAATTTGATTTGCCAAATTTTGGTGATTCTCCAATGAATACAGAGCTGTCTGTTAACCCTGTAATAGAAGGTAATGACTATATAACATGTTTTGATAAAATTATATGCTATTGAGAGAGATTAGAGGACCAACCACAATCTCTTGTCGGAGTTAATGTCACTGGAGAAGCTCCTCTCAAACAGACTCTTGGTGACACACAAGACAATGTAGAGCAGTCCAGAGAAGCTCAAAATGTTAACAAAACTAACAAGAAGGCAAAAAATAAAACCAAAAAATCCAAAGGTTACTATTTTTAGTTTTTAGCATGCTCACGTGAAAACTTTGTTCGTGACAATTACGTCGTCTTGGTATTTTTAAGTAATCGATGTTCACCGATTACTTACAGATTTCTCGTCCGATTTGATTGATTCTTTATTTTTGTGATAGTAGATACTTGCCATTTGGTCCCATATTCAATTTAATGTATATAGTAATATTCGATTTTTGGATTGATAAATTATGACAAAAGTTAGTAAAAAGGTTGTTTGAGATACTCTTTTCACCGTTAAAAAAAATGTAATAAACATAACACATGCATTAGCAGGTACTAAAGTGTAACAATGGATTTTTTCAGGGTCTCGCCTATCATTCCTGCAAATGAAGCAATATAAGCGTGCTTTGAAGCAGTTACAGAGATGTGAAGATGAGAAAAAGAAGTTGAAATGCAAATACGTAGCTGCCAAAAAACTCATGAAAACGACAGCATTTCAAATAATGTGCAAGAATTTGTCACCGTCAGCAAAACTATTTTGCCAAATGCAAGTTACCCAAAGCGGGAAAAAAAAGCAAGGAAGGCGTTTTACAATTGACGAAAAAATTTTGGCATTATCTCTTTATAAACCTTCGCCAAAGGCATATCGACTATTAGGCACGAAGTGTATTATGCCGAGCAGAAAAACGCTGCAAAATTTACTGCGCAAAATTAATTTGAGACCTGGAATTAATTAAATTATTTTTGAAAATTTAAAAAACAGGGTTTCTAAGATGCCTGAAAACCATAATTATACTCGCACCTCGTCCTCGAGATAAGTATCCTGAAATTAATATATTATTATTCACAACATGTAGTAACGCATATTAGTTACCGATCTTGCACTATGGTTGAGAGATAAATAAAAAAAAAAGAACAAATTTTCCGCTATGGTCACCCCGGCCTCACCAATCCGCCATCTTATATTGTCATTCGCATTTTAGTGCTTAACCGTTCTGCACTTTTTTCTTTACATTCAAAATTAAGCAGTTAAAATGCCGAAACGTAAGCGTGAAAAGGATTTTGACTACATCAGTGATCAAATCAAGAAGTTAAAAAAGAAATTAAAGCGAGCACGGAAACAAAACACAATTTCTTCGGATAGTGATTCTGAATCTAAAAATAGCTATAACGGTACGTACCCACTGTTACCTTTTATTAAGTGTTAACAAATTATATGAAAAGCATCCGTTAATATTCACATTAGGTGCAATCGGGCTGATCTTTGGACTGTCCCACAGCACATAATAAATGTTCGGTTACCCTCAATTAGAAATTGTACGGGTTTACTTGGTGATTTAAATTATTATACGACACAATGCATTCGAGCTGATCATCGGACTGTCTCAACGCATTTACTGATCGTATCTATGCTAAAAATAATATTACATTAAATATTGTAATTTTTACGAAAAAAGCAAAAAATGCAACTCGAACTGTACTGTGGTCTGTTTCACTGCATTTATGCTTAAATCTCTTTTACATAAGAATGTAACCGGACTGATCTTTGGACTGCTCCACTACATTCTGCAAATATTGTTTTTTTTTTCCGACTTATTGCGCCAATTCTTTTTTCAAATCTCAATATGTTTTATTTAATTTTTTTACCCAACAATTTATAAAAATTCCAACATTTTTATAATTTAATAAAATACACTTAGGTACATCTATACGAAAGCATTTCAAAAACTATACGAGTAATTCTAATGACTTGACTGTAGACAACTTTTTTATTTCGATGATATTCCATTCCATCATTCTTCACATTCAAACAACCAAAATATTCAACATTTCACATTAATAAAAAAGGTAAGTATTTCCAAATTAAATTGATCTTTTGAAACATTTAAGTAAGCCAAATTAACGAGTGATGAACGCAATTAATTTCTTGTCAGCCATAAAATGGGATCCTTTTTAATTTTTGCTTTTGATACTGAATAAAGTTTGAAAAGCGATGGCGAGGTTTATTAATGACGCCCACACTTCATCTGTTCTATGGCGGACACAGTATAAACCGGAGCAGTAAGTAAACTCACACTGAAACATTTTATACAGGGTGTTTGGTAAATGGGTATATGAGCCGACACTAGCCCATGTTAACATGGGCATATAAATGGTATGGTGAAGTCAGAAAATTGATATCTTCATTTTAATTATTTTAATTTTCATATAAATCGGATTTTATAAAATTTATTTTGTATGAAAATTTAAATAATTAAAATGATGATATCAAATTTCTGACTTCACCATACCATTTATATGCCCATGTTAACATGGGCTAGTGTCGGCTCATATACCCATTTACCAAACACCCTGTATAAAATGTTTCAGTGTGAGTTTACTTACTGCTCCGGTTTATACTGTGTCCGCCATAGAACAGATGAAGTGTGGGCGTCATTAATAAACCTCGCCATCGCTTTTCAAACTTTATTCAGTATCAAAAGCAAAAATTAAAAAGGATCCCATTTTATGGCTGACAAGAAATTAATTGCGTTCATCACTCGTTAATTTGGCTTACTTAAATGTTTCAAAAGATCAATTTAATTTGGAAATACTTACCTTTTTTATTAATGTGAAATGTTGAATATTTTGGTTGTTTGAATGTGAAGAATGATGGAATGGAATATCATCGAAATAAAAAAGTTGTCTACAGTCAAGTCATTAGAATTACTCGTATAGTTTTTGAAATGCTTTCGTATAGATGTACCTAAGTGTATTTTATTAAATTATAAAAATGTTGGAATTTTTATAAATTGTTGGGTAAAAAAATTAAATAAAACATATTGAGATTTGAAAAAAGAATTGGCGCAATAAGTCGGAAAAAAAAAACTTTCTTTGTAAAACTTCTTCAATACTTATTAAACCAAGAATTAGAGATTGGGTGATGGACTTTGCACAGTTTTAATATCAGTAATGTTTTGAACCTATTGATGGTTAATTTATTAAAGTATCCAGTATCCGGCATCTGTTATAACGATATGAACTTTGTCTGGCGCTCAGATGTTTATTTTCTTCGCAACGTAAGCTTATTGTTTACGAAAATCAAATTACAACACTGACTTCGTGGAGGAACAAAGTCAAGTGCGCCATTAATAATGTTCATTGTTTATAAAGAAATGTTTTCGAGAGTCTTAAAGTTACTCAGAAATTTTGATTATTTAACTACGTCGTATCTAATGCATAAAATTAAGGCATTTGCAAAAACGGTCGGGTTTCATGATGGCGGTTAAGCGTGAATTCAATCAAATTACCCAAAATCGTTTACATGTAGCGTATAAAGGGAGGCCTTTTGAATACTACACTTTCAGTGTGCGAGGGGCTAAAAAATTTATAAATAAATTGAATTTCCATAGGGAAAGGCAACAAATGAGATACATAATTTTTCAACATTACAACATCATCAACTTTTATTATATTTGTGTCTACATATTTCCTGTTTATCTGGGTACATACTTAGTTTGTGAGAATGGAGCGATGGATATTGTAACTCCCTAACGTCAAAAAGTTTAAGAACTCAACAGAATTAATTAGCTCAAAGGCTATTTAATTATAATATAACTTTTAATTGAAAACTACCCTAACAAAGTCTAACTCTTGTCTTTACAACAACGTCACAATGAAAGATCAACCTCTATCAATAATTGAAACAATGAACAACTAATCGTTTATCGGAAAATAGTTTGGGTAATCGATTTAACACTGAAATGTCGGGTCCTTTGCGGGTTCCAGAATCACTCTCCGATTGCAAGTTGAATCACAATCGGTTATCCGAGGCTTGGACGTGACTGGAACGTTTATGGAACTGCGATGAATCATCCATTGGCACTATTCCAAGCTAATCGGTTCCAGGTCTGGAATATGGAATTTCCAAACATGTGTCGCCATATGGGTTCATTTGCCTGGTGAATGCACCCAAATTTTGTCTAAATTGGAAGGTTAAAAAAACTATGGTATTTTTCGTACGGCGCCGCATGGATTCAAACTTCTATACAGGGTGTTAGCACAGTAGATAAATTAAACAGTACGGAAGCTTCATACAAACGCTCGAAATCAGACTCACGCACCCAGACGCACGCTTTACACGAGCTCTAAGCGAACCTCGCAGTCCATCCGTCGCGAGTGTCGCGCGCGTTGTGTTTTTAATAATAATTTTATTGCATGCGCTGTCCGCTGTATTTTTAAAAACATGCCACGAGTGTATTGCGTAGTATACGGCTGCTTGAACTCGGCATCTTCAAAACCAGAACTTTCATTTTTTAAACTTCGTAATAATTCTGAATTGTAAAAATGATTAAATATTACTTTTTAAATAAAGTCCTTACATCTGATTTTGTAATAGTTCTTTTTAAATTACGTAATTACGCTTTTTAACAATTTATGTGTTCTATGTATTTGATAAAGTAATTTGCTCCGCGCACTTTTGTAGGTACTAAGTGATGAACTGTATTTAAAATGGGGCAATAGGTATGTGAAAGTAAGTATCCGGTATTTTATTTATGAGAATAGATCTTCTACCGGCCTCTAATAGTACTTAATCAATTTATTCGATTATGTATTCGATCATTATAGAACCTAATTAACGTTTTATATTTTTGTTAACTACTTAGTCAATTAATTTATTTCATTAGGTATTTGATAATTAAAAAACCTAAATAAACGTTTTAATAAATAAGTAAGTAAGAACCTTATTAATTTTATAAGGATTAAGAGTGCCAACCCTAACACTCAGTTGAAGTGTAGGTATTTAACTCGCCGAAAGGGCTAAGTTTCCGTACTGCTTTAGCTCATATATATACTGTGGTGTTAGGTAAATGGGTATATGAGCCGACACTAACCCATGTTAACATGGGCATATAAATGGTATGGTAAAGTCAGAAAATTGATATCTTCATTTTAATTATTTTAAATTTCATACAAATCGGATTTTATAATTTTATTTTTGTATGAAAAAAAAAAAAAAATGATGATATCGAATTTCTGACTTCACCATACCTTTAATATGCCCATGTTAACATGGGCTGGTGTCGGCTCATATACCCATTTACCTAACACCCTGTATAAGCTTCGGCGGTGTGAATGTGGTCTACGGTCATTTGTAATGTTTGGTAGCTGATGAAATTCGACTCTTCGCGAGTCATAAAAACATTAAACTCTAAAACGGGTCCTTAATGATTCAACGCTTCAATACAAAGTAAAACTACAAAGAAAATTATAAACTACGAAGTCCTTAATCCCAGCAGAAAACTCAAAACATTCAACTTTATATTAAAGTTAACGATCCTCTTTACAGAAATTAAACATCGCCATAACAACTTCGGAAAAGAAAGTGACTACGCAATTTTGTACGCAAGGGCGTTTATTTTAACAGCCTAACTTTTTCTCCGAGCTGAACTTATGGCCCAAATCAAAATACAGAGGTATTTACTAGATCATTTATTTATTATTATTGGTAAAGTTAAAAATAGGCCATATAGTATAGCATAGTAGCTTCAGAAAAAATATCTTGTAAGTATAAACACAATAGGTACAACTATAATACTATATAATTACTTCTCTTTATAATAGACTNAAAGTGTTAAGGAAATCCTTGGGAGAGGTCTTTGTCCAGCTGCGGACGTCATTTGATTGAAAGGAACGATTGAACGAAGTAGAGTAGCAATTAATTTATTTATCACAACACTGTGGTGTGTCGCGGTGGTCTGGTCTACGCTACATTGCACGTTGTCCCGTTTTCTCAAACGCGCACTCC